GGCTCTGCCACTGCAGAGGACATCCAGGCATTTTTATGCGTCCTCTGAAATCTAGGCAGAGATTCCTAGAGCTCAACTCTTGTCTTACGTGCACTCCATGCCCAACACCACATGGAAGCCCCCAAGGCTTGAAGATTGCACTTTCTTAAGAAATACTCCAAGCTCTACCTTGGCCCCTTTTAGACACAGATGGATTTGGAGCAGCTGGGATGCAGGGCACCCAGTCCCAAGGCTCCATAGAGCAGTGGGGCCCTGGGCCTCAACCACGAAACCACTGTTTCCTCCTAGGGCTCCTGGCCTGTGATGGAAGGACCTCAGATCTTTGACATGATGTGAAGACATCTTCCCCATTGTCTTGGCTATTAACATTCAACTCCTCTTTACTTCCTCAAATTTCTGCAGTGGCTTGAATTTCTTTCCCAAAAAATGGGGTTTTATTTTCTACCTCATGATCAGGCTGCAAATTTTCCAAACTTTTATGTTCTGTTTCCATTTTAAACATAAGTTTCTCATCTCCATGTGAGACCACCTCAACCTGGACTTTATCATCCATTCCACTATTAGCATTTGGTCAAAAGCATTCAACAAGTGTCTAGAACGTTCCAAACTTTCCCACATTCTGTCTTTTTCTGAGCGCTCTCAGCTGTTCCGTCTGCCTATTACCCAATTCCAAAGTCACTTCCACATCTTCAGTTATCTTTGTATCAGTGTCCCAACCACCAAGAATTAATTTTCTTTATTAGTCTGTGTTCACACTACTGTAAAGGTACTACCAGAGAAAGGGTAATTTATATAGAAAGGAGGTTTAATTTACTCACAATTCCGCATGGCTGAGGAAGTCTCAGGAAACCTACAATTACAATGGAAGGCAAAGGAGAAGCAAGTACCTTCTTCACCAGGCAGCAGGAGAGGAGGAGAGCAGAAAAAAACTGCCACTTATAAACCATCAGCTCTTTTGAGAGGTCACTTACTATCATGAGAACAGTATGGGGGAAAATTACCCCCGTGTTCCAATCACCTCCCACCAAGTCCCTCCCTTGACCTGTGGGATTACAATTGGAGAAAAAGATTTGGGTGTGATAAGATTTTACAGTAACAAATCAACAAGGCACAGATGATAAATTGTTTGCAGGGCCAGGCGCGGTGGCTCACTCCTGTAATCCCAGCACTTTGGGAGGCGGAGGTGGGCGGATCACGAGGTCAAGAGATTGAGACCATCCTGGCCAACATGGTGAAACCCTGTCTCTACTAAAAAATACAAAAATTAGCTGGCCTGGTGGTGTATGCCTGTACTTGACAGGCTGAGGCAGGAGCATTGCTTGAACCTGGGAGGCGGAGGTTGCAGTGAGCCGAGCTCACGCTTGGCGCCTGGCGATAGAGCAAGACTTTGTCTCCAAAAAAAAAAAAAAAAAAAAAATTATTTATTTATTTATTTATTTTTCAGCATCTTTGAGGTTTCCAGGTTTCTAGTTAATTATCCACCTTATTAAAATGATATTTTTTTGTTTCAACATTGTTCTTCTGAAAATGCATACAAACTCACACACAAACACACTCAACAATGCATGCTACATGACTTTCTTACACTTAAGGTGTATCTGTTTTTTTGTTTTTTTTTTGAGATGGCATCTCACTCTGTCACCCAGGCTGGAGTGCAGTGGTGCCATCTCAGCTCACTGCAACCTTCACCTCCTGGGTTCAAGCTATTCTCCTGCCTCAGCTTCCCCAGTAGCTGGAACTACAGGCACACACCACCATGCCCAGCTAGTTTTTTGTATTTTTAGTAGAGACCCATGGTGTTTCATCATGTTCTCGAGGCTGGTCTTGAACTCCTGACCTCAAATAATCTGCCCACCTTAGCCTCCCAAAATGCTGGGATTACAGGAATGAGCCACTGTGCCCGGCTGGTATATATTTAGAGTAATATATTTGTATATGTAACTATGTAAATAAAAAAAAAAAAAGTCTGTTTTTGTCAGCAGAGAGGCCACATGTACAAAATATATATAAAGCAAATTTTTAAAAATATTTAATCAAGACTCAGAAATGTATGGATATTAATTATACTCATATAATTTTTATGACCATAAAAATGATCCTGTAGTTAATAATTCAATTGCACATATTGAAATAACTAAAAGTGTATAATGGGATTGTTTGTAATATAAAAAATAAACACATCCTCAAGGTGATAAACACCTCATTTACTCAGCTGTGATAATTAAATATAGTATGCCTGTTAAAATATCGCGTCGGCCGGGCGCGGTGGCTCACGCTTGTAATCCCAGCACTTTGGGAGGCCGAGGCGGGTGGATCACGAGGTCAAGAGATCGAGACCATCCTGGTCAACATGGTGAAACCTCGTCTCTACTAAAAATACAAAAAATTAGCTGGGCATGGTGGCACGTGCCTGTAATTCCAGCTACTCAGGAGGCTGGGGCAGAATTGCTTGAACCCAGGAGGCGGAGGTTGCGGTGAGCCGAGACTGGGCCATTGCACTCCAGCCTGGGTAACAAGAGCGAAACTCCGTCTCCAAAAAAAAAAAAAAAAAAAAAATCGCGTCAATGCCATAAGTGTGTATGCACACTATCTACTCACAAAAATTTTAAAAACAATTAAGGTGAAAAAGAATATAAATTTGACCTATGGGAACAAAATTCTTCAACTTACTTGCAATTTAAAAACACTGGCAGGCCAGGCCTGGTGGCTCATGCCTATAATCCCAGCACTTTAGAACTCTGAGGTGGGTGGATCACCTGACATCAGGAGTTCAAGACCAGCCTGGACAACTTGGCGAAACGCTGTTTCTACTAAAAATACAAAAATTAGCTGGGTGTGGTAGCACGTGCCTCGAATACAAGCTACTTAGGAGGCTGAGGCAGGAGAATCACTTGGACCCAGGAGGTGGAGGCTGCAGTGAGCCGAGATCGTGCCACTATACTGCAGCCTGGGTGACAAAGCAAAACTCTGTCTCCAAACAAACAAACAAAAAACAAAGAAACAAACAAAACACTGGCAAAAAAGAGCTTACTAGAGATGTCACTCTCCTACGTTAACAAATAGCATGTCATTACCATCTTTTCCTTAGAACCTCAAGTAAGATGGGACATGTTAAAGTTCATGGTAAATTAATACTTTGTTCAAAACACAATAGTTTTAACACATCAAAAACAACTTTGTTTAATAAAAAATTGACTTCATGCATAATCTTTTAAAAAATTTAAATTTATTGCATTTTATTACATACAGGTACAATATTTATTTATTTTTAATTTTTTCTTTACAGACTGGATAGTTTATAATACAGGTACAATTGATAAAATAATTTACTACTAACAGTCAAAGGTTTTCCTTTCACTAGAATTCAAAATATTACTCTGGATTCTACAGAACACCCGCCTTATACATCACTAATACAATGTGTTATAAGTCAACCACAAAGAGCCTCTCCATTTAGGTTTCCATTATGCAGCTTACAACATAATGTCCTTAGTCTTTCACAGAAAAGTTCATGAATAATAGACACCTAACAAAAAGCAATCTCTAATATCTCTGATGCAAAAATTAAATACTTTTATATAAACATTGAGAAGAATCAACATGAAGTTACTTGAGATGGAGTTACATTATTTGTTTTTAGAAAATATATAATTTTTTTTACATAAAAAGAAACATACCTTGAATGTAATTATAAATCTCCAAAAAAAACTGCTTCTTTAAAATGTATATAGTGTTAGCTTTGGATCTTTTTTATACTCAACACTCTGATTTAGAGTAATGTCTGACATTGCAGTGCCTTCCTTCTTTCCACTCTGAATCCTCAAATGTATATATTGACTTACTTTTTGATTAAATATATTTTTCCCATTTACTGCATCTGCAGAAATTAGTATAAATGGGTATTTTCTAAACTGTAGTTTTCGAACAAATGTTTTTCACATTCATTACATTTTTAGGCTTTCTCTCAAATATAAATTCTCTGATGTTCAACAAAGTTTGAACATCTGCTTCAGGGTTTTCCTTTAATATAAAATGTGTAGAATAAAATCTGTAATACAAGTAAAGGTATTACAATCATCTTTGTTTGTGATGTTTGTCTTCAGAGTAAACAGTCTTTACTTTAAAGGCCTACATTTTCTGAAAGGTCTTTTTATAGTCACCACATTTCTAATGCTTTTTTTCCCCTGAGATGGAGTCTTGCTCTGTCACCCAGGCTACAGTGTACTGGCTCAATCTTGGCTCACTGCAACCTTCACCTGCCAGATTCAAGCAATTCTCCTGTCTCAGCCTCCCCAGTAACTGGAATTACAGGTGCACGCCACCACGCGCAACTAATTTTTGTATTTTTAGTAGAGATGTTGTTTTACCATGTTGACCACACTGGTCTTGTACTCCTGACCTTATGATCCACCTGCCTTGGCCTCTCAAAGTGTTGGGATTATAGATGTGAGCCACCATGCTTGGCCTATATTGCTTTTATTAAGTACAAACTTTCTGATACTGAGTAAGACGTCAGCATATATTAATAGCTTTTCACATTCTTTGTGTTCGTACAGTTTTTATCTGGTATAAATGCTTTCCTGTGCAATAAGGTGTGACAATTTGTTAAAAGTTTTGCAATATTCTTCATATTTGTAGAAGTATTCTTCAGTATGAATTATATTTCTTACCATAATGTGTGACTACCATAAAGCCCTTGCCACATTTAACACATTTCCAGAGTTTCTCTCAGTTTGATTTCTCTTTAGAAAAGTTTGAGGTGTGGTTAAATGCTCTGTCACATTTTTTATGTATGTAGAGTTTCTCTCCAGTATAACATTTTTTAATTAATAAAGATGGAGAACCAGTTAAAGGCTTTGCCACATTTTAAAAAATAATTTTTGTATTTTTAGTAAAGATGGGGTTTTCTACTGAAAATGCAAAAGTCAGCCAGTGTGGTGGTACACACCTGTAATCCCATCTACTCAGGAGGCTGAGGCAGGAGCAGCGCTTTTGCCCAGGAGACAGAAGTTGCAGTTAGCTGAGATTGTGCCACTGCTCTCCAGCCTGGGTGACAAAGTGAGACTCCATCTCAAAACAAAATTTTTTAAAATAAATTTCTTAGATTCATTAAGGTTTGAGGGCTGGTTTTAAAGGCTGTGTTACTTTTTTATTTATGATTTTTGTCCAATCTGAATTATCTTATGTACAATAAAGGTTTGGAAATGGTTAAAGGCTTGCCCACATTCTCCACACTTGTAATGATTTTTCCCAGCATAAATTATTTTATGTATTATAAGGCCTGAGAGCTGGACTTTGCCACATCATTCACATTTGTAGGGTTTCTCTCCAGTATGAATTTTCTTGTGATTAGCAAGACCTGAGGACCACTTAAAAGCTTTGTCACATTCTTTACATTTGTAAGGTTTCTCTTCAGTATGAATCCTCTTATGAGTATCGAGAGTTGAGTAGAAGGTAAAGGCTTTCCCACATTCGTTACATTTGTAAGGTTTCTCTCCAGTATGAATTCTCTTATGTTTCTTAAGGGTTGAGGAGGAGTTAAAGGCTTTGCCACATTCTTCACATGTGTAGGGTTTCTCTCCAGTATGAATTCTTTTGTGGTAAGTGAGGGTTGAGGATAAGCTAAAGGCTTTGCCACATTCTTCACATCTGTAGGGTTTCTCTCCAGTATGAATTCTCTTGTGGTTAGCAAGGGTTGAGGAGCGGCTAAAGGCGTTGCCACATTCTTCACATCTGTAGGGTTTCTCTCCAGTATGAATTCTTTTATGTTTAGTGAGGGTTGAGGACCAGCTAAAAGCTTTGCCACATTCCTCACATCTGTAGGGTTTCTCTCCAGTATGAATTCTTTTATGTTTAGTAAGGGCTGAGGAGCAGTTAAAGGATCTGCCACATTCTTCACATTTGTAGGCATTCTCCCTAGTATGAATTATCTGAAGTTGATTGAGGTGTGAAAGCATGCAAAATGATTTGCCATACTTTTTACATTTGAAATGTTTCTTTCCAGTATGTCCTGTCTCATGTCTGTTGGAATTTGAAAATTTACCAAAGACTCTGACACATTTATAAGTCTGAAATATTTTGTTTCGGGTAGCTGAAAAACATTGTTTAACTTCGTTGTAACCTCCTTGGTGCACCTCACACTCACCTACACTTTCACAGCATTTTTTAAACTGAAAATTCTCATGTCCACATATCTTCTTGGTATTACTTTTTCCACATCTTACTGGTATTACTTTTTGGAGTGAATCTTTTATGCCCTTCTCTGGCTGAAGGTCTTGGGTAAGATAAGAATATGTAACTGAAAGACATAAAAATTGCAAGTTACTCCATTACTAGACTCAGTTAGATATACTTTACAAATTAAATATATAAAATTATACAAAGTACATTAGCGAAATGGCATATCAAACTACCACAAGCCATAATTTCTTCATAGGTGTATAAATGTAACAAAAACAGTGATCAAAATATTTTTGTTGGAAATTTATAAATAAAGTAAGTGTGTGCACCAGGTGAGCACAATGCCAAGAACTATATAGAAAGAAAAAGTCTACTACATTTACCTAACACAGCCCTTCCTCATCCCCAATAGATGAACATGGTGTCTTTGGAGTAAACTGTCAACTTCTGGCTTATATCTCAAAAGACAAGAAAAACACTGGCACCTATATCTTTACTTTTGGCTGATGGGGGCCTTTCTGTCTTCCATGACAGAAGTTGCTGAATAAAATGGTTGTATACTTTGAAATGACAGCTTTAAGTCTTCTGAGATCAAAAGTGAATGTTACAACAGCAGAAAGTCATCAGTACCATGGACGGAAAACAGGTAAAGAAAGTAGTTACTGACTGGTAAGAAGAAGTATGGAGAGGTCTTTTAACCGAAAAATAAATACAAAGTTGCACACAAGACACATCCTGAGAACATGTTTGAGAGACTCCCAGAATCTCTAGCCAAGATAACTGGTTTCAAACTATGCCAGGAAAAAGCTGCAGCATAAAGATAGTGAAATGTAGTTTTACGCTAATTTCTAACTCTCAACCAAAGATTACAATGTATATAAAATATTAGGGCAACATGGTCCAATCAAAAAAATCAAAAATTTTGAAAAAGCAACTATAAAAATAGAGTTGTATATATTAACTTTCAAATTATCAGATAATCCATATTATGCTCAATCAGAAAAATAAAAAAAGAGATATCTAAATAAAATTAGAAAAATAAGAATATCAACAAAAGGCTTGGACCAATAAAAATAAACAAATTGTGGAGGTGATTAAAAAAAACAAACAGAAAAAACTGTAAAAAAATTAAGAAGCTAAACAAACAAATATATTGAAATATAATGACAAATTTGTCTATGCAACTGAAGTCATTTTTTTTTTTTTTTACCAGTTTAAAATATACTGTTGTAACATTAAATTGAATTAGTTGATTTAGAAATGGACAAATGAGCCAGGAGTGGTGGCTCACGCCTGTAATCCCAGAAGTTTGGGAAGCCAAGATGGGCAGATCACCTGAAGTCAGGAGTTTCAGATCAGCCTGACCAACATGGCAAAACCCCATCTCTACTGAAAATACAAAATTAGCTGGGCGTGGTAGCACATCCCTGTAATCCCAGCTACTCAGGAGGCTGAGGCAGGAGAATTGTTTGAATCCAGGAGGCAGAGGTTGCCATGAGCCGAGATTGCATCATTGCACTCCAGCCTCGGCAAGAAGAGAGAAATTCCACTTCAAAAAAAAAAAAAAGAAAGAAAGAAATGGACCAAGAATAAGTGATTAAACTGAGTTATAATAAAAAAGATATACAAATGGGAAGAACCATTTGAAAGGTTACACAAAATTAATAATTTTAGGAAAATAAAAAAACAAAATCACAATATAAAACAAAATTACCTTACATAGATTAGAATGGACACTATACATTTTTTAAAAACACTAACTATGTTGATGATGTAAAGAAACTGAAACTCATGTAAGTTGTTGATGAGAAAAAAAGTGCAGCCATCATAAGAAATATCATGAATGTTCTTCAAATAATTAAAAATGAAATTATCATATAGTACAGCAATTCCATCTATGAATCTTTACCTAAAGTATGCAACACAGTAAAATGAATACAAAACAGGTACCCTGTTTGCATATCCCCCCATAGCAAGTCTCATAACATAGTCTTTAAATAAATAAATAAATACCTGGATAAAAATTTAAAAATATAAAAATTTTTGTAAAAAAACTTTAAACTATATTTCAAGGCTGTAATAATACAAATAGAATGGCATATGCAGAAAAATGGACCACCATCAATGAAACAAAAACTACTATTCTCACACATTTTACACGATACAAAAAAAGAATTTAAAAAATGTTTTAACATAGAGTTTCTCAAAAATATGCAGATATTTGTGTGTCCCCAGAAGCAATGGCAAAGCAGTTTGTGCATTCCCTTATAAGCCATAAAGAAAACTTTGGGGCCGGGCGCGGTGGCTCAAGCCTGTAATCCCAGCACTTTGGGAGGCCGAGGCGGGTGGATCACGAGGTCAAGAGATCGAGACCATCCTGGTCAACATGGTGAAACCCCATCTCTACTAAAAATACAAAAAATCAGCTGGGCATGGTGGTGCGTGCCTGCAATCCCAGCTACTCAGGAGGCTGAGGCAGGAGAATTGCCTGAACCCAGGAGGCGGAGTTTGCGGTGAGGCATGATCACGCCACTGCACTCCAGCCTGGGTAACATGAGTGAAACTCCGTCTCCGTCTCAAAAAAAAAAAAAAAAAAAAAAAAAAAGAAAGCTTTGGCTCACACTGTGAACTTGAAGGAAGATTACTGAAGCCAAAGTAGAATCCTTAGAGAATTTAAAAGCATGGGACAGAAGGTGTACCTACGTCAGAGCAAAGGAAAAAAATTACTCAGGCTTCTCAGAAACTCTTTCCATTGAAGCACAACTCCCCACATATTAAGGACTGGCTTCCTCCTTGACTTTTGTACCTCTCATTTGTGCCGTCTGCTTCTTTTGCTCTCACTTACCTGGGTGTTTGGCTACCATCTCATTTCTCTTTATATTACAGGGCACTTTGTTTTCCTCCAGACAGGTGATCAATTCTGGTTTAGAGACAACAATACCTGTTTTATTAAGAAAAAAAAAGGAACATAAATCTCAGTAAATTCTTTAATAACCTAGTATTATGCTTAGTAAAGAGGATATAATAGAAAATTAATATTGATTCATAATAGAACTTTCTAAATATTTAGAAAATATTTTAAATTTGTAGGTCTTTAATTTCACAACTTAGTACCTAAATCAAAAATTGATGGTGGCAATTGAATTCTAAGGTGTGGACAATGATATTTTAGGCCACTACATTTTTGGAATTGCAACTAACTTAGAACAAAAGATACATAAGCTCAGGAAAGGGAAAAGTTCAGGTCAAGATAAACATCTTGAAGAATTTGTTCTATACCAATGAATCCCCAAGATTTTCTTAAAATCAGACATCTAAAATTCATTGATGCAAAGCAGAAATTACCAAAAACATCTTAGAAAAGAGAGAAGAAAAATTTTCAGGATATACTAGGAATTGTGTATTGAAGTTATCCTCACCCAGGGAGACCAGGTTTCTGTAGTTCTCAAACATCACATCTCTATATAAATTCTGCTGAGCATGATTCAGGCATTGCCACTCCTCCAAAGAGAATTCTATGGCTACATCTCTGAATGTCAACAGTCCCTGAAAAAAAAAACAACAACACTCGTGAACACACAAATACTTACCACATGACCATAGGCAGAGATTTTTATTTGACTCAAGTTAAAAAACAGAGTAAAAAGAAGTGGTTCTGAATTATAAGAGTGACTAAAATTATTCAAAAACAATTTTTAACACAGAAGTATTCTCTAACTCTAAGAAAAGAGGATAGCATAAGATCCACAATACCACTGTAGATATGATACATTTTGGATCATAAATTATAAAATTGAGTGCATCAACATGGATATGTCTATTTTGGTTTTTGAGATTGAGTCTCATTCTGTTGCCCAGGCTGGAGTGCAGTGGCATGATCTTGGCTCACTGCAACCTCCATCTCCCAGGTTCAAGCAATTATCCTGCCTCACCCTCCTGAGTAGTAGCTCAGACTATAGCCATGAGCCACCATGCCTAGTTAATTTTTGTATTTTTAGTAGAGATGGGGTTTCTCCATGTTGGCCAGACTGGTCTTGAACTCCTGTTTATTTTTCCCTGCCCTCCACTATCAGACACCAGCATTTTTTTTATAGTAATGGGAGCATAAACTGCACTGACCTCTTCCTACCAAAATGAAACAGGGCAGGCAGTGCAGCCTACCTTTGCATCAAAGGTTGAAGTAAACTCTCCTGAATGTATCTTGAACCCCTCAAATTTATAAATCACTTGGTAATCTTGGTCCTGTTTTATGCAATATAATTCTGCAGGATCCAAAAAGGTCTAGGAATGGGCTTTTTCAACAAGTCCCCTTGTAAATACTGACTGTGCTTTCCCAGACACAGTATTAGCACTAGCTAGAGAAAGCAGGCACAGCAAAGAGTCCCTGGCTGGGCACGGTGGCTCACACCTGTAATCCCAGCACTTTGGAAGACTGAGGCAGGTGGATCGGGCTGGTCTTGAACTCCTTGAGCTCCTCAGGAATTCAAGACCACCCTGGTCAACATCGTAAAACCCCATCTCTATTAAAATACAAAGATTAGCTGGGCATGGTGGCACACGCCTGTAACCCCAGCAACTCGTGAGGCTGAGGTAGGAGAATTGCTTGAACCCATTTGGCAGAGCCTGAAGTGTGTCGAGATGGCGCCACAGCACTCCAGCCTGGGCAACAGAGGAAGACTCCATCTCAAAAAAAAACAAAAAAGAGTCCCTTACACCCACCACAATTGTCACAATACAAATACTTCTGGTACAAATAAAGACAACCAATCTCCATCCTGAAATACTATATTTTTTGTTGGATTTTTAAAGTTTCCAGAGACGACAGAAGGCAGCAATGTCTAAGTAAGTCTGCACTTGGGGGACTTGTACACATGTACGAATGAAGTGTTTGTTAGGCAGATACTATCACAGTCACAGAACAATGTGCTGGGAATAACACATAATGTGATTTAATTTTCATGGCACCCTGGGAATTGATACTTTATTTTTAGCATTTAGATTGAGAGCACAGCATTTTCATTTCATTCTTCTTATGTCTCTCTATCATTAATTTTAAAAAGAAAATACATAGAATAATAATTCAATATAAAAAATATCCAAAACGATGCAATTACATACAAATTGAATAATCAGCTTCCAAATAGCTATCTTGTAAATAATGAAATTACGGCAGAAATTTTAAAAAGTCTGAAACTAATTAGAGCCGAAATAAAACATACCAGAATCTCTGGGTCACAGCTAAGGCAGTGTTAACAACAAAATGTATAACACTAAACATCCACATCAAAAAGTTGGAAAGATCTTCATTTAGAATTTAATGTTGCCGTTAAAAGAATTCCAAAAGTAAGAGCAAACCAACTGCAAAGTTAGCAAAATACAAGAAGTAACCAAAATCAGAGCTGAAATGAACAAGGCTGAGACATAAATGAGTATAAAAAGTTCAACAGGCCAGGCACAGTGGCTCATGTCTGTAACCCCAGCACTTTGGGAGGCCGAGGCAGGTGGATCATGAAGTCAGGAGTTCAAGACCAGCCTTGCCAACATGTTGAAACCCCATCTCTACTAAAAATACAAAAATTAGCCAGGTGTGGTTGCAGGCACCTGTAATCCCAACTCAGGAGGCTGAGGCAGGAGAATCACTTAAAATTGGAATGCAGTGGGCCGAGATCATGCCACTGCACTCCAGCCTGGGCAATAGAGCAAAACTCCATCTCAAAAAA